TATATTTAATGAATTAAAAGCTGTAAAAATATCTAATGCATGTAAATAATCAAATATTTCGAAGAATATCTCATTTGATAAATCTTCAATATACAGTGTTGTGAAAAATTATAGAATCACCTGTTTGAGTCCAGGTATTTGCTCGTCCTATGCCAGTTAAGACTTTCAAAGGAAACAAAGTTCATGTAAGTATATGTGTTCAAGTGTGCTCCATCCAACAATGAAATTAGATTCCTCAATACTACTACTTAACTTTGAGAAAACAAGCAGTTTTTGATATCGGTCCATTTTTGCCTGTGAAAAATTATAGAATCAATATCATAATTTCGTCCTTTTTACATTACAAGAACTTCAGTTTTGATTGAAAGTGATATATACAGATAGAGAATTTCCTACTGAACATTTCAGTAAAAAAAAAGGTCTGAAGAACAGTTTATATTTGAAATTAAAATCAGATTTTATTCCACAAGCCAAAATGGCTTGAAAACTGCATCTTGGCTTAGTAATTTAGCTAGGATATGCGAAATATAAGTAGTAACGATTTTTTGACACTGAATTCTAATAGAAGACACTTTTTGCAACAAAATGAGAGGTTCAGAAATATGGCACCTCCTTTCGTTGCAAAAAGGCATACGGTGTCAAAACACATGCCACGAGTACGAATAGAAAATGGCTTAAAATCACTGCACATCATCATTCTCAATTTTTGACACCATACGTCCGTCCGTAACAAAATGGTGTATCGAGTTCTCAAACTCTTCCTTTTGTTGCAAAAAGTGTCTTCTATTAGAATTCAGTGTCAAAAAATCATTACTACTTATATTTCGCATATCCTAGCTAAATTACTAAGCCAAGATGCAGTTTTCAAGCCCTTTTGGCTTGTGCAATAAAATCTAATTTTAATTTCAAATATAAGCTGTTCTTCACAGAGCTGCCGGCCTGGCCTGCTGTCTGACAGGCGCCTGGCAGGCCCTCAGGCCATCCACCAGGCCCGGCCGAATTCTGAAATTTTAGCCTGGCCTGATCCGTCCAAATAATATTCGGCCTGGCCTGCAGGCCAGGCCAGGCTGAAGTTGTTGGCCTGCAGGCTAGACCAGATCAAAATGATCAGCTTGTCCATGTAAAAATTTTAAGAAAATTTAACGATTTAACGAAAATAAGGCATAACATTTTTCACTATTAATATGTGCTAAACGTTCTTTTTAACAAATCTCATTTGTTAATTCAAGCTAAACTGTTTCTGTCGAGATAGAATGTGCGGAATTTCGTTAAAAGCCAATTTTTAACGTGTTTTCAGATATATAACCGTAATATCTTTTCTCGTTAAATCACAGAATACTTATTCACTTTTACTTGAGTAGTTCCTAAATGTTGAAGATCAAATATTGATGCATGGTCTTATTATCCGAAACTGATTTAACAAATTCATGCGATTCTAACGGTCAAAACTTGTACTGAACATTAATTTAATGTTATAGGATCTGTATTCACTCACAGAAGGGCTTGTTTAGATTCAAAACAAATGGATAATAAATTTTGTGATCGTGTATTCATAAAATTTGATTCTTAAATAAAAATCTCGTTGCCTCCCATCATAAGTAACACTCATTGACGATATTTTTGTTCTGTATTTTCTTTACCTATTCATTCTACGCTTCGTCATATGTTGTTTAGTTATCATGGATATATTTTTTCGAATAATGCAGAACAGATTTGCTACAATCGAAGGCATTTTGTTAATTGAAGCCTTTCTCGGACGGTGCGTGGGTGTCCAAAAGACCTAGACAGATTAACATCCACTCACACACTATAGAAGTATCCTTTCTTCAAAATGGCCGACTCCAACATGTCTTAGTATGTTGAAAAAGAGACCTATAAGCTAAAGAAAAATCTGTTGACTCACCATTGAAAGCATTGTTTAGGCTTTTCAACAAGTTCCTCACTACACTTAAATAAAAATCAGTATAAGATATGCAAATTCATATTCGAAGTTTGCAGGCAATATGAATTAGACCAGGTCAGGCCGCAAAAAAGTGGTCTGCCGGCAGCTCTGATTAGTACAGAGTTATTGAATTTAATGGATTTCAAAAATCAGAAACATCAATCGGTCTGGTTTGACCTGCAGGTCAGGCCAGGCCAGGCCAGGTCAGGTCAGGCTGCAGGCCACTCTGTGGTTTTTGGCCTGGCCTGTACGCTAGGTCAGGGCAGGCCAGGCCGCAGGCCACTCTTTGGTTTTTGGCCTGACCTGTACGCTAGGTGAGGGCAGGCCAGGCCAGACAAGGCCAGAAAAAAGTGGCCTGTTGGCATCTCTGGTTCTTCAGACCTTTTTTTACTGAAATGTTCAGTAGGAAATTCTCTATCTGTATATATCACTTTCAATCAAAACTGAAGTTCCTGTAATGTAAAAAGGACGAAATTATGATATTGATTCTATAATTTTTCACAGGCAAAAATGGACCGATATCAAAAAATGCTTGTTTTCTCAAAGTTAAGTAGTAGTATTGAGGAATCTAATTTCATTGTTGGATGGAGCACACTTGAACACATATACTTACATGGACTTTGTTTCCTTTGAAAGTTTTAACTGGCAGAGAACGAGCAAATACCTGGACTCAAACAAGTGATTCTATAATTTTTCACAATACTGTATGTATGTAAATTCATTTTGTAGAAATATATCGTACGAATGAATTTTGTTCGAATCAAAAATGAATTATATCGTAGAAATTATTGCTTGGGAATCAATTCGTCTATGAGCGTATTTGATGGGAAGAAAATGAAAAACAATGTTGACATCGACCGACGATTTGTATTCATATATAAAACAATAGTATAAATGAAAGAGAATTATTGACGAGATCAAATTCGTCTAATTATTTTTTATGAACAAACTTTTCTTCATTATGTTGTAATCTTAAAATTAACAAAAAAAAACATAAAGTGATCAGTTAATACTGATGTATAGAAAAATTATTCAAAAAAAATCATGAATAATAATCATGATATACTCTTAATATAATATAGAAGCAACGTCGAAAAACGAACACTTTTTAGAGTTGCCTGTATTTCATCGTTAATATCTTGGCTATTTCAAAGACCAAAATTCTTGTTTATATATTATGGAGGAGAGAATTGATTGTTGTATTTATTCATATAAAAAAAGATTTGTAACTACTCTAATAATTCAGTCATTACTGGCATAAAACGGTTTGACACCCTTTTTTGGTCGCCGTGTTGTTGCGCTAGTTGGTAACGGCGATTTTTTACCGTCATTGCTTACTATGGTTATAATACATCGTAAAAATTCGTTCATGACTACCGTAAATGATTACCCTAAGCGGTTGTCGTTTTCTGTTGTAATTCATCGTGTACAAGCGTGTTCTCTCACTGATTGGCGTTGATATCTATTTCTACATGTTTATCACCACACGCCAAGTTGTGCATGAAAAGTCATTTTATTACTGCTAAATGCGAAGAAAAAATTATTTTACGAGCAAATAATACTTGAAGTAAATTTTACAATCAAACATGAAGATTAAAAGACACTTTAAAAGGAAAGAGTACTTCTTATCATAGTATCTATAAAAGCAAGAGAATTTATGCATTTTGCATTCGATATAATACTTCTTATTCAAATAAAATCAAAAACTTTGCCCTAATAAAAGAGTGTGGAATGAAATCCATATGCATAGTGCTTATATTTGGTAAGTGTTTGTCAGGAAAATATGAAAAATGTCCTTTTTTTGAAACACGATTGATAATAAATGTTGAAGTATGTATATGACAAGAAAGTTACATCCCATCTCACAAATCATCATGAACAGAATGGATAAGGTTGGATAGCATCGCAGATCATGACAAATAGACAGATTCAACAAAGATTCAAAATGTCACTGTATTCCATATGTTGGGGATTCTGGTTAACGGATAGAACGAATCTATTATGTTTTTCACATTTTTCTATCGAGAATAACGCTGAGGTATTTCATTGATTTGTTGCTCTCTAAATAGGATTTATCAGTGTGGTTAGTACGTATCAGTGTTCGGCACTATTCAAAAACTTTGTTCAGTCCCATCTTCAAACCAAAAAAATGATAGTAGTGAATGAAACATAATAATTGATAATTTATATATGTATGCTCAACTCTAACTGGTGGTCAATGTGGTGATCCGTTCACATGGGTTAATGCACCGAAGGTGGAAGCCATCTCAGGCTCCGCATGCGCGGTACGTCTTTTTGAAATATAACTTTGATATTCATGCCAATACGGACCGATTTGGTCTATTTCATCTTTCAGAAAACGAAAACTGGTGATCTAGTCTCTCGTGCACTACTTCCCAATGACTTATGTTTAGGTGGTACGAACGGTTGTAAGTCGGCGAGTGGTGCTTCGGTATGTTGTTGTACATCGGATCTGTGTAATGGTGTATCAATGATCCGAAACGAACCTCTTCTTCTGTTCAGCACTGCAGGTGTCCTCACTCTTCTCGCCTACCGATGGCTTGAACACTAAAAGAACC